ATTTCTTTATTTGTTTATTTTAAATTATATTTATTCATTTTTTATTATTTTTTGGTGGCGGTGGTAGGGGGACGTGGTCCAGACTAGTTTGGTTAAGACAGGGTCGGAAAATTTACTTAATATGTTTAATAGAATAGACTTAGATTGATAATTTATATTATTTGTCCTTAAATTGAATATACATTAGTATGCTATATTATCCTTCTAGCTTACTGACAACACTTTTATTGAAAAGGTACAAAATATCTCAATAGTTAAGTAACTTAATTCATTTTAATAGGTAAACTATGTGTCGTAATATAGCATTTTATTTAGACTATAACGGTTTTTGGCACTAAGTCATATTATATAGGTATGCCCTAATTTTATCAAATCAAAAAGGCGTAATGTTATTAAATAGAGGTAAAAAATTTAATCGGCTGAAAGTAAATTATTATTTCAACTATAATGAAAACAATATTCTCAATCGTTTAAAATGATCCTGTTTTTGTTACAATACAATGGAAATCAGAGAAAAAGCTGAACGGATTATCGCATTATAGAATATCGCCGCGGATTACTGTTTGTTAGTTGAATTGTTTATGTTAAACCTGGCTTAATCCACTTATTCTTGCTTTTCGACAGAATTTTACAGGACAACCTTAGGATTTCACTGACTTTTACAATTCTCTAAGGTCGACGCTTTGTTTAAAATCCACAGGAGCGTTTTGTAATGTAAGAGTTTAGAAATCTTTGCAACAACAGTTAAAGTCCGCACTTGAAATTTCCCTGATAAGAGCGTTAGCGTTTTAGAAAAATAATACAACAACTTTAATAATCTGTGTGCAAGAAACACATTTATTAATGTTTTGGACGCTGGACCGAGTAGATCTAAACTTTCATTAAGTCAAAGTAAACTCCAGCACGTGTAATATATATTGAAAAATATCTTTTATTGAGTCTCAATATACAACTTTATCTTTAAATTACGTATATTGAAATAAATAAACGACCAACAGTACATCATAAACTTGTATCTTGCCATATGTTCTATTGCGTGAATAAAATGCACATCAATAAATATACGGGATGCATTGGTCAGAAAATGGTTGTTACATGGTACTGTATAGTTGTTGCCCGATTTTTGCCATCTTGGTTATATCCCCTTACTAATGATTAATCAAAATTATCATACAGATAGAATACTAGCTCCACTATATACTTGGTATATGTACATTGTACCAATATTTTCCTACCTTGTTACTATAATCACTTCTGTTCAATCAACAATTTTTCTTATCATTCAACTTGTTTATCTTTCTATCTAAATTAGCATACTAACAAGATATGCCCGACGCCGTCAGTGATTGTAATACTGTTGATAATTGAGTAGGTGTGTAGTTATCACAGAGATAACTAGATCAATATCTACAATAATTGGGCATCCCCCATTGCTAAGCAATAAAACTAACAGCGGTTACCTAGTTACTTCTGTCAGAAAGTGCCGTTTATCCATTGTATTACTTAATTGACAATGTGACGTAACACCTTTGTCGTCATCAGATAACATATTCTACAAAGCAAAAAGGAAAGAAAGATCAATTCTAGCCAACAAAAAAATGAAAATAAATAAATGAGTATTATCCTATATCGCCATCTTTCATTGTCGCCGAGTCAAAGCATAAACGTTATATGTGTACCTTAGACCTTAACATGTCTTTTCCAAGAACTTTTTTTTAATTTCGAAAAAAAAATATAAAAAGGCAGGAAACAAATGAGCCGTGTCACGACAAAACCAACATAATGGGTTTGCGACCAGCATGGATCCAGACCAGCCTGCGCATCCGCATCAGTTTCTCTACTTGTTATACGGTTTGTAAGCGAACCGCATGGATCCTGATCAGACTGCGCGGATGCGCAGGCTGGTCTGGATCCATGCTGGTCGCAAACCCATTATGTTGGTTTTGTGGTGACGCGGCTCATTAATTATGTTGTGTTCTCGTTTAGATCAGTCAAAACGTAAGATATATACCTTGCCGCCTGAAAACTTCTAGTAATGATACTAAATGGGATAAAATGAGGTAAGGGGCTCGTAAAGGCGTCCAGTTTACATTAGATCTTTATGAATGGACGGAGTCATAAACATTTGAGCATTTTTCCTCTAGGGAATTATGTTATTATGATGTTAAGTGTGTTGTTACAGTCAAGTTGAAAATGTTATTGTTTTCTTATTAAAGATAAAATCATTTATACTAATTTGGCTCACAGGCAAGAATTCTTTTCTGTAAGATCTATTCAAAATTTTCGCATTGCTAATTATAAAACTAAAAGAGAATACCAGCATCCGGGAGTTTAAGAAAATATTTAGTTTTCATGAGTTAATTTATTGTTTTTATTATATACATTTTAACATGTATGGCTGAAGGTCTTCTTTATTACACCCAGTGTTATACCGTGGCGAACGATTTATATTTTTGGTATGATTCTTACAACGAGTAAATGTTACACATAAATACATTTATATAAAATGTATAATTTAAAAACCATATTAGAACGTGTTACTTTTAGATGTTATATCATAACAAAGTATATTAAACTAAATAAAAAACACACAAAAACGTGATTTGATTATTATCATTATTATTATTATTATTATTGTTATTATTATTATTGTTATTATTATTATTATTATTATTATTATTATTATTATTATTATTATGAAACGATAAGATTGCGATTAATAATAGAAAAATTGATAAATCAATGAATCAATGAATAAATTAACTTTTTTTCTAATTTTAAACCGGGTATTTCTGATGAAAGTTGTACAACAGTGATATTTTGATGAATGAGCGAATATAATCACGAAAGAATATACATATTTAAGAAGTCATAAATAATTATTCAAGCATCAAAACATTTATGAAAATATATCATTAATAACATGCAAATAGCAAATATCGTTTGATGATATAAAACCATAAATTAAAAAAAAGAAAAACAATCTTTATTGACAATTTAACTTAAACGTTTGACAGTTCTACGATACAGATACGCTGAATATCGAAATGTTCCCACTGATTATCTGTAATGAATAATAGAATAGAAATTCAATATTTTATAAATAAAAGAGAAACCTTTAAATCAGATAAAACTTTATTATTTTATGACTTCTGTAATCATCGTCGGTTATATTGATAATTATATGAAGGAAATAGAATTGTTATTTTTCATGCCATGGCTGATATTATTTTCATAAATGAATATATATTTTTGCTATAAACATTGTAATAGTGTTTTACATGCAATAAAGTTATTTGTATTGTATTTTATTGTATTGTGTTGTATTGTATTGTATTGTATTGTATTGTATTGTATTGTATTGTACATTGATGCTATTGATTTGAGCTTTTCCGTCCGTCTTTTGCTATAGGTTTGTTTGATTTTCAAGAAAAATATAATTTGTAATTTTAAGATAAATTACCAAAATGATAAAATAAGAACAAAAGAGACTGGTTTAGTCTGCACGAGCACTATACTGGGTTTCTTTAATTGCTACACATGTATATACAAGTACCATTAGTTTACTTCCATCAGTCGATATGGTCAAATAACTTAATATACATTTGAGCAGCGTCATGACAAAACCAACATAGTGGGTTTGCGACCAGCATGGATCCAGACCAGCCTGCGCATCCGCGCAGTCTGATCAGGATCCTCGCTGTTCGCTTACCAACCCTATTACAAGTAGAGATATTGATAGCGAACAGCATGGATACTGATCAGACTGGATCCATGCTGGTCGCAAACCCATTATGTTGGTTTTGTCGTGACACGGCTCATTTATATTTAGTTTGTATAGTTTGTCTTGTAAATACTCAGGGCAAGAGATACGGACTGGGGTTATGGGTTGGCAAACGATACACATCTTGATTTAACAAACAAATAAAATGTTTGTCTTTTCAGAACGGGGAACGAAAACAATTTTGAAAAATATTTGGGAATAAGATTTATTGAACAAATTCTAGTTTTGTTTTTTTCATTGTAGCAGAAAATTTACAACTTATTTACTTTTGGATTAACGATTTCAGCTTTCAGATTTTTTATTTTCTTTATTATAACTTTACTGTCTGTCCCCATCGTGATTTATTTTTGAATAAACGTTAACTTTACGACAGCTGTAAAATACAGAGAAACACTTGATTTTAAGTGCTTTTCATTGGTTTTTAAACAATATTATTCACCATTCTTTTAATATATTTAGTTAATTTGCATGATATTTCTTAATAAAGCAGTGTTTATTTCATATTTTAAACATGTAATATAACGTTTACATGTTACAATCTTGAAATTAATTAACTCAGCAATCTTTCAACAGAAATCTTAAGCTATGATGATGAGTATTTTGTAACATGGCCGTGCATTTTTTCTAAAGGACTGTTTTTAAACATAGCTTTTATAAAATCCCATGAAGTTGTTCGGCGTATTCATTTTAATAAAGACGTTTATTTCTTTCATTTTTTTCTTCTTTATGAAATTTCCTAAAGTCAACATACCCTTATATGCTACCTACCATAATGTTTTGTTTTACCATAATGAATAATTTTGTTTTTGTTTCAAATTATTTTGTTTATTTCATTTCATTACAATTCTGCCATTAATCGTTAAAAACTACATCACACAAAGGTTCTGTCTAGAACTGTGATGTGATAACAAATTTAAAATCAAAGCTTAAAAATCTATAAATTTTACGATTTCATCTTTCTGGAATATTTATAGAAATATTCCTAAACTTAAATTCATTTTTAGGAATAGTTTGCTTTGAACAAAATAAAAGCTAAAAAAAGAAAAAAAGAAATAAAAAACTACGCTGTATTTTTGTTTGTTTTAATGAATATTACACCAGATATTTGATAGCACAATCAAGGAATACATACATGTATTTATAATTACACCGTACCGTTAATAATTTACAAGAAAAAAATCTAGGCATATTTACATTAAAACATAACAATTACATGGTGCATAATGTGACTGAACAAAAGCCGTATCAAATGTTTTTGTTTTACCGCAATGGCGGCAATTGCCTGCTTGAATTTAATTTAATAAATAAACTGAGGTAGAATAAGTTCTTGCAATTTTGAACCGATTACCACAGCGATTCATTACATGTTATGTCATTCAACTTTATCTTAAAGAGGCGTTTGAAGTATTAATTTCTTTTTAATTTCTTCGATAAATCAAGCACATTAAGAATTAATTCCGTGCTAATAATGAACAAACAAAATGACAACATTAATTTTTACTTACATTTCGTGTTTGGAATCAATATAAAAATTAGCACAAAAATGTCAACATAATTTCTCACGTTAATCAGTTCTTGTAACAAAGTCACCTTTGCCAGGCTTGAAAGCCTTGTAAGCCATAAACCTGTAAATATTGTCTATATTTTTCTATGTCCAACGCGTTCATTGCCGTAGCTTGGTTCATATACGGTGCTAAATATGCACTATTGCTAAGTCTACTCATGTCTATGGCTCCAGATCGAACCGACATTAAAGGATTGAACGTGTTCAGCGCGGCTGATGGTATCCCAGTAGGCTTAAATGGAATAACTGGTGATGTTGTTGTTGTAGTTGGACTAGGTGGTGGTGATTTCTTGGAATTTTCCTTCTTTGTTCCAATAATACTGTCAATAGAAAAAGTTTTTGGTGTTGATGACGACGTCGAAGATGACGTCGGCGATGAAATTGGTGATTTACGTGATGTCGGCGATAACGTCACTGGATGCGTAGGTGAAGTCGGTAACTGATGGTGCATTGCCTGCGAAAGATATGCTGGGTGGTTGACGATCTGTGCACGTGTCAGTTCGCTTTGAGCACGTGCGATTTCATTTTGCGTGACGTAAGGTAAATGTGGCGTCAATGATGATGCCATGTACGGGGGATACGGAAATGCTCCGACTGCATTGGAATGTGTTCCCTGTGGCATGAATCCATGATGGTGAAAAAATGACGGGTGAGCGTTCATAAAAGAGGCATTTTGAGCAGCCATCAGCTCAGCGTGGTGGCGCTTGTAGCGTTTCCGGCGTCTTAAGAAGCTTCCGTTATCGAACATATCCTCACTGGCAGGGTCCAGGGTCCAATAGTTACCTTTACCAGGGTTACCGGGTTCTCTTGGAATTTTAACAAAACAATCATTTAACGATAAATTATGTCTTATACTGTTCTGCCAAGCTGGAAACTTTTCATGATAATATGGAAATCTGTTCATAATAAATTCACATATTCCAGAAAGTGTCAGTTTCTTCTGGTCGGATTGTAGTATCGACATTGTTATAAGAGCTATATATGAATATGGCGGTTTAACTAAATTACTTTTACCATTTTTCTTGTTACTTGTTCCCGCAATATTTGCCATAACACCGCTTGAATCATTTCCACTGAAATTTTCGTCCATAGAACTGTCATTAAAATCCCTCATATCAATTGACACATCTTGTTCGGATTCTCTAGGGACAGGCGAGGTAATTGGGGATTGTACTGGCGACCCGAGAGAGTCCCGGCCGTCTCCGACAGGATCGAGCTCCTCATTGTCACTGTCGTAAACATCAACCGGTGTAGATGACCGTGCATGATGGTGTTGTCTTAGCGACATCTCAGCTTCTAAATTTGTTGCTTCAGTAACCGTGTTACGTCCATATAAATTATTTTCACTATAATTCACATTTTGTTTCTGTAATGAGTCCAAAGTATTTAAACTGTCTTGTAAAAATGCACGATGAAGCTGTTTTTCGGCGGATTGAACTTGTTTGTTATCCATTTCATTGTTTGTTGAAACCGACGGTGGATCGCTTGCGGCCGTCGGGGAGGCGTTTATTTTCTGTGGCCGTTCATCCATGTATGTATGCTGATTTGGTACGTTTGTCCGTATGTCCACGACGGAATGATTCCCGTCAAATCGCATCTCAATATAAAATAATACAATACACCGATAAATGTCTCTTCTTGACGCAGTCAAACACTTTCTATTATATTTCCTTCAATATTTCTCTAAGATATGATTATGAATTAACTTTAATTTATCTTTATATGAAATCTTCACAGGTTTTCAAACCTCAATTGATACATTTAAACAGCGAAATTGCTTATAGAATGAGCAACACTGTAAACGGCCACCCATCAATTACTCTTATCATTTACTACCTTCCGCGATTAACGAACGAGCGAATCGCAGATCTTCTTTTTCAATTTCAGTCTATCATCAAGACACGTGATCAAAATCTCGATCTCTGAAAGGCTTTACGCAAATCGCTGCGTCTCTAATCCTCCCTGGACTCCGCCCCTTTTAACAGCCGATGAACGCGCGCTAGCAAATCGTGGCATTCTCCTTGCAAATTAACAAATTTGTTACATTACTGTCAAAGTAAGTCCCTAATATCCTAAAACGATAGTGTAATTTGGCAGTATTCAGTTAAACAGGTATGTTTTAGAGGGATTGAAAGAATTCTCTACAAAGCGTATAGCGATTGTTGGGCTGCCACCAAAATATATATTTTTGGAACGCTATGAAAAACAATGAAAATATTAGTGTAAGAAAATAATACCCTAAGCTTAAGCCATAACAAGTGGAAATGAAAATTGACAAAAGGAATAAAGATACTTAAGTTATTTCTATTATTAGCGGATAGGGTGATTGCTCTAACGTCAGTAAAAATATTGAACTTTCACTAATAACCTTAAGTGATAATATTTTTGTTTAGTTAAAGCCTTTCACATTACTTTAAAGACTCGAGTTCAAAATATACAAAACATAGTATAAGTGTTGTGTCAATAAGTTTCACAAAATATTTTTTCTACTATATCACTTGTGCAAGTTGACATTTGTTCGGGGGAGATGTTCTTAAAGAAAGTCTTAAACTAACATAAACACTACAACACAGAAGATACAAGAAAATAATAATTTTGTTAGTGGAATAAGATAAATATTTTTTCTACATGGGAGATCCTCCAGACACCTGGGGGTTTAATTTGTTTAACTATCCCATGTTGTATTAAGGGACAACTTACATAAAGTATTTATAAATGACGAAAATATCATCTGTAAATATTTTTGAAAACTTTGTTGAATCCGCTAGTCTGTATTCTAATTAGAAAAAACACATTACCCTGTGTCTTTATATAAATTCCATTAAAGATTAAATGTTAATATAAACGTACATTAAGCTTTGTTACACTTGAATAATGGGATAGACACAACATTTATGTTTCTACATTTAAGGGAATATTAAACTTCGTGAGAAAATTTGGTCTAAAATATATGTTATATTTACGAATAATCGCTTGAAAATAATTATATTATTAATAATAAACATTTTGTTATGTAACTTTATCACAGATAGTTACGAGAATATCATTAACAATATTGGTGAAATAAAAACAACAACAAAATTTGTATTTAATGTATTCATGACCACAACGACTGTATAAATAATAATAATAATAATAATAATAATAATAATAATAATAATAATAATAATAATGATAATAATAAATAATTATAATAATAATAATAATAATAATAATATTATTACTATTATTATTATTATTATTATTATATATGATGATGATGATGATGACGACGCAACTACGATAAGGATGATGATGATTACGATGATGATTACGACGACGCCGACGCCGACGACAACAACAACAATATTAATGATTACAAACAACAACAGTACATTATATAAACATGTATATTAATTTATTGTAACAATAAATAAATAAATAAAGAGATGAATAAATAAATAAATAAATAAATAAATAAATAAATAAATAAATAAATAAATAAATAAATAAATAAATAAATAAATAAATAAATAAATAAATAAATAAATAAATAAATAAATAAATATGTTCCCCTCCCCCATTCACCAGTGGTCGATCATCAGAAACGCGAGCGTCTCAAGGGATAACGGTGACGTTATCAGGGCATCTAAGGAGGTACTATATGATACTGCGTAAATTGGCCTCACTACCAATTAACTACTCAATCAACGTCGAAAATTGATTCATGTGAATCCCGTGTAAATCAATTTTGAGAGGGATGTCTACTGATCAGTTGTCCAGTTTAAGAACGCAAGAAATTTACAGAGGATGTGGGGATATTTATTAATTTATTTTCCAACAGACGCTATCAGAGTACCAGTCCGATTTCCGCTGTTCAAACGGCCTTAAAGATATATAAATATTACGACTAAACAAAAAGGAAAGACAAACTTTCATGAAAAAAAAGTTTCCCAGGTTTATCTTTATAACATAAGAAATTATTCCTCAAAAGGCGTGTTAAAACAAGAATCAACGCAAAAGCAATCATTTTGAGTGTGAAGCTTAGCTTTTTTATATAATTTATTCATTTTTCAAGATATTTTGACAAATTATTTTACCAACTACTTAGCAAATTTATGTTTCCCTGTTTCGGTGTATGTAAAACATCGTTTTCAAGTGCATTTTGCCTAATTCCAAATGTATGTTTTAACCGAAACAACTTACACCGGAGGGTGCTTCACTCTTTACTTAATTTGTTCAAAATTTGTACAAACATACCCATTTCAGACGTTTCTTACAAAAATTGGGCATTTTACGAATCGATAAATATTATTTAATCTTCAAAGTAAAATGCCATACAGAGACCCGCTAACATATACTTTGTGGTACTTAAGTTCTTACCATACCCGCGTTGCGATGTTACCGCGTGGTAGTATTCTCACTAGTGGCTTAACAAACAACAACAAAAACTGAGATGTTATCCCTAAGTTTGGCCAATCTGGGATCATTCCTGTGATGATACGATGAAAATGAAAGCAATTTAGGAATCAAGTAGGCCTCAATGCAGATTGATGGCAATCTAAATATGTTATTATTACAAACTTGAAGCGATTCACGCCCGCTGCTAGATTGTAAGGGATATTGGTCTAAACAGGCTGTGCACTAGTATATCCCCCGTAGAGACTGCGCCAGGGAGATGTTTTCCCTCCTTTATCGTTTCTTTTGATATATTCAATTATAATCTTTTACATGTAAGAGGCTTATATACATATTTCATAATTAATAAAAAGGAAACTTATTGTATTGTATAGTAAATATTCTCATTTAGTTTTCTTTCTATCCTAATTTTGAAGTCCTTTTTCTGCACTCCATGACGTATGATTATATTTTTTTCAAATGGTCATGCTTATTTTTATTTGAAATGAAGAGTAAAACATATGAATGAATATTTTTATAAAGAGGCAGTAATTTCTTCTACTTCTCCAATAAATGACTTGTTTTCAAGTGGCATCTCTGGAAATCCGCGTGTATTGTAGAATAATGAAAAGCAGTCGTAAAACACAGCAAAATTGAAGATATTGCAGGCATCAAGAAATGTCTCATAAAAAAGTAAGAGAATATATCACTGAAGTAACCGAGGATCGAACTGGCAAGCCCGAGATTTGTAGTCGAACAGTTATCATTCTCGTCTCGCACCTGCTTCCTTATAAAAACTCCGTCTCGTTAAGTGCGAGGTTAGTGATACGATCCATAGTCATTTCAAGCCTTACTGGATGGACACACGGATACATAATATCACTATTTCCAGCCACGAATTGGCACCATGAATGAACTTCGGAGCTTCTTGAATCCATATTTTCATGCTATTAAAGAAAACATCATTTTCTGATTCAACTTTTAAACGGACGGTATTCGATTGTTTAATTCCACGTAGTGATACATCTGCGGATGTTTCAAAAATTTAAATTCGTGTTTAAATGTTGAATTCTGCTTAAGCCGGTGCTAGGGTGCATGGAGGTAACTTGCAATATCTAGTACCGTCTTTAACAGGCTCAATCAAATCGAGCCTGCAACATTTTCAATTTTGCCGTTTTGGCGTGTTGGTCTTAATTGTTATTTTTACACTATTCATACAGCAAATGCCAGACCTTATGTTTCATGAAATATTCATACTATGATCATGCGAAATATTATTTCATCACTTACATTAACCTGTATTAATTTCTGCAGGAAAAGAACACTGTTCAATCACGATATCAACTTGAAAGTCACAGGTTGATTCAATACCTTTTGATATAGAGCAATGATGTAAAAGATCTTGTCTAGTTATTTGTTTTTCATATTTGTTAACATTAAACAATTCATATGTAAATCGTCAATAAGTTTTTGTATACATGTATATATTATTTCCTCAATTTCTGTGACGATACCGGAGTAATTAGATTTTTGTTGCATCAACTATTGATGCAAATATACAGTTTATCTTCCCGTGATTAATTAAGATGATATGTTTATAAAGTGACATATTTGTGCGTAAATTAACATTTTATCATGCTTGTTAACAGGCCAAGCTCCACACATTTCTAAACTGCAAATTTTGGTCGTTAGCATTACGTCCAAATATTTATTCTTTAAGGTATGTAGCATATCAGTAAGTGAAGGGATGTTACCACGTCTCGAGTGGGTTTTTTGGCCAACAAGAGATATTTTGCACGCTGAATAAATGAACAAAAAGAAAACATTGACTTGTTCACAATGAGAACAGAGAACATCTGAAATTGAAGACTTATTTTATTTTTGTACACTGAATGTCTTTCACGACATGATACAATATATATGCAATACACAGAACGAACGAACGAATGCTGAATATCATATCTTGTTCTATTTTAATTTTCAATATTGCCATTAGATTCAACTTCAATAGTTTGGCAGTACTGTCCCTGACAATCATGTTTCGTCTTGATGAGTCATCAGTCACATCATCAATAGACTAAAATGTCAAAGTTCATAATAAAGAAGTGATGTTTGATTACTTTACCTTGCTATATATTTTTTCATGAAAGAACAGACACTTAGAGTCGTTCACATTTAGTTCCAAAAGGTCGGTGATATTGTTCATGCAATAATTATACTCGCAACGACAACGCCAAATGGCAAAAATAATGGTACCGTAACGACTGACCCATGGAGCGTCCTCTTGGAACAGTTTAAAAAACTTGCACTTACTTTCGAAGATGTAAATAAGGTACGAACGCTGAACGTATATCCCTACAGACAAAGAAATGGTAATTTTAACGGCAATCAAGCGGGATTGTATAGAGCTTTAAATGTGGTTTTCATAAGATTAGTAAGAATATCAATAAAC